ATTATATATGTGGACTTTTTCTCTCACAGTGCAGAGAATTACCGTATATTTAACCAGAGACATATCTGTGAACTTCTAGTGAAAAATTAATCTGTAGCGCTGGTAAAGGGTAGGGTCGGGGCCACGTGACGTAGTACAATTTGATGAAGGGACTGTCTAGCTTCTTTCAACCCCACTTAATTTCCACATGTAATTCTCAGTTATTAATAAACGTCAGCGATCGTATAACGTATCTGCCAAGTTCTTTTCATATCATTGGATATAGATACGCTAATTTTAATTAAAATTCCTCTCTGTAATTATTTTAAAAGGATAACAACTGTTTGCTTTTGCAAAAAAAAAAAAAAAAAAAAAAAAAAAAAAAAAAAAAAAAAAAAAAAAAATTCCCTGTGGAAGATTTCCCCATACTTTATACTAACTAGTTAGTTCATGGCATTTCTTCTAAAATTTTTTTTGTAATAATCTTTTAAGTATAGGTATCTAAGGTATCTATGAAGGTCCACGATGACAAGATGACACGATGATAATCCAGAATAATTGCCATAACCGCTTTCTTGGCGGTAAATTGGAATGTATAATATTTCTATGAGTTGTTTACAAGGTATTTTTGTGACATATGAATCTCATACGAACAGTTGTTATCCCTTTAACAGAATATGACTCACAGCACTAGCTTGTCTAGAAAAGCACGGGTTGTATAAGTGTTCTTACTGTACCAGTAGTCCATGTCGGATAGAGAAAGTTCTGAAACAAAAAGAGTTGAAATGTAAAGACTTAGTGTGCGTGCGTGCGTGTGTGCGTGCGTGCGTGTGTGCGTGCGTGTGATTAACGTAGGACATAAGTATGTTAGTGACACGGAAAAAATACATCTTAACTCTTTAAATTAATGCTAGATCTATTTTTCATGGTGCATTCAGAATGTGAAAAATCTTATTTTGATAAAAATTGTACTCATTTACCTTTTTTTCTGAATAATTCTCAAGTTCTACCACATGAGGACAATACAATCAAATAAGTACGGAAACTATTAAAACAGGTGTATCATTCACATTGACAACCACATCAAAATGTACCATTGTACGATAAATAAATAAATAAATAAATAAATAAATAAATAAATAAATAAATGATTACGATGATATGATAAGCGTGACAGGATAAAATAAGACAAAAAAAAAGATGAAATAGATCAACAGTAAATGATATAAATGGAATTAAAAGAACTTAGCCAAAATAAATAAATAAATAAATAAATAAATAAATAAATAAATAAATTAATAAATAAAATATAATAAAATAAAATTCAGTATTAGATATGGATGTCTACCCCGACTTTACAGATAACAAGGAAAGACTGATTGAAACTGCAAAGGCTTACGCCTTTTCCAGTTTTCCTGTTTTCATAAGCTACGTGTACAGCCGGAAAAATATACTTGTGGTTGCAAGATAAGTGTAACAAAACAAATTAAGCCTACGTACGTTATTGGCAAAAAGTGTGAATTGAATAAATCTTTTGATATGGTGTAAATTCGAAAAGCTTTATTGAACAAATAAACATCTCTTCTCGTTTGAAAAAAAAAAAGCGTTGTAGTTGTTTCACATAAAATCTGTAATCAGGGTTTCCTCTGTTGAACTATTCACAAACAAGTCACGATGTCGCAGTTGCACTTCAAACTGTTTAACAATATCAACCAATCAAATATAACGGGAAATATTAGGAACTCTCCAGAATACGGAGGCGACTTTCTTCTTTCGTCTCGACCACATTTGTTGAGAGATTAAAATTAGTGAATACAGTTTGGCGGGAAATATTTGATTCAGAGCTAAAGATGCCGAGAATAGACACAGATATTAAACTGGACTTTAAGGATGTCCTTCTGCGACCGAAAAGGAGCACGTTGAAGAGCAGATCAGATGTAAGAAATACATTTTCGGCTAGTGATAGGTGACATGCCATAGAAATATTATCTAACAGCTGTGTTTTCTCAAACATTCGTGTCAACATTATCAAAATGATTATCCGCGACAACTCGTGGTTTGTATCGCTGAAGTAGAATGGCACTGGAAATGACAAGGGGGCAAGCTAAAATAAATGTTGTGGAGCATATTCAGTTGTTACAATCACTTAGTTATTGTATTCACTATTGTTACTTAATTATACTTTTTGAGGGTATTTTTTTTATCGGCTTAACAAGGACTTGTTCACGGTCCAGAACTCGGGCTGCTATGGCATGGAATGGGGCTAGCGACTGAACTGGGTTCTCATAGGGTGGGATTGCCCTGTCCAATACCTTGTCTGTAATTGTTTGATGAATTTATAGATGTTTTTCACTGATCATCTTTACTGTAAGAAAGGGGATATTTAGAAAAAAATGGATAATTTTATTTTTGGTGTGCACCTGTCAAGTCTGGATTTGTGTCATTGCTGTACTTTTCACTATATAAAAAAAACAATTACTGTTTTACTTGCAGGTCAACCTCCACCGCGAGTTCATCTTCAGAAACTCCAAGCAGGTTTACAATGGAATCCCAGTCATGGCCTCTAACATGGACACCACAGGGACATTTGAGATGGCCAAAGTCCTCGGGAAGGTATGGTTAAAGTGTGTTAAAATCAAAGTCTTTACTATCGTCTAAAATTTGGAAAATAGCGACAAAAAGACATTGGTTGAAAAAAATTCCCCTCTGCCTTCTATTAAAAATTTAAATTGTTTGATAAATAAATAAAAAATGATGAGGGGTTATACATACAGTTGCTGATCTGCTGATCTGCTGTTTCTGTGGCAACTCAACAGTTTTGACTCCCCCTTGCTAGGGTACTGATTTGTCACAATTTGGTTCTAGTATCATGTCCAATTTTTCCAGCATGATGTATTCACTACAGTGCACAAACACTACTCCGTGGAGGAATGGAAAGCCTTCTCTGAAGAATGCCCACATATTATGAAGGTTTGTAGAGGACTCGACTAGAACTTAAAAGATTCCATTAACCATATGATTTCAGTGAATTCTAAAAACATGTATATGATTATTTTGTTGGAAGGGATTCATATTAATTTTCAAATATAACCAGTCACATTCTCTCTCTTTCTCTCTCTCTGTGACAAAAATCAAACTTGCAGTCAAAAAGTAATGCATTGATTTTCAATTGTCAGGAACAAAACCTTGTTCCTTGCAGCATGATTTATTTCAAATAAAGCCAAGTTATTATATGATCATTATGTTGTGATATCGTATTTTCAGAATGTAGCTATCAGTTCTGGAATGGCACAGGGTAACCTGGACAAGGTAAAAGCAGTGTGTGAGGCCATCCCGACCTTGAAATACATCTGTCTGGACGTTGCCAATGGCTACTCGGAACACTTTGTGGAGTTTGTGAAAGAAGTAAGAAGAGAGATGCCACAACATACAATTATGGTAAGATGTCGATAGTGTGTGTGTGTGTGTGCCTCTGTGGAAGATTTAGGCATCAAAATTGAACGCAAATGTGATGTGAAACCTCATGCGCACATGCACACACACACACACACACACTTTGAAACATTGTCTTCTTTCTTAATTTATTAGATAAAATGGATATTTCTTAAAATACCAGTGGTAAATTGGTAAATTAAATTGATACATGTAGCTTCCAATTTTGTGAAGACAAACTTTTTACGTTGCTCTTGGTAGATGTATAACTGAGTATCATAACAGACCATACATCTAAATTTCTCCTATTTATTTATTTATTTATTTATTTATTTATTCATTTATTTATTTATTAACACTACTTTTATTTGCTCTGTTACAGCTGTTACCCAGTGGGTTTGTTATGTGATTACAGGTGACGTGGGAAATAGCCTCTGGAGTATGGAGGAGACTCTAGCAGTATTTAGTGTTAATGCAATATAAATGACCTCAGCATAGCTCTTTCCTTGGAGCATGTCCACTGATGATATGGGATCTCTTCTTTGCTAGAGGAGATATCAAAATAATTGTTAATATGAACATATTGTTACTTATATATTATTTTTGTTGATAACTGATAATTTATTGACAGGAAAAATGTCCAAGTGGTATGTCTTTGTCCCAGTAGAGATTATCAGAATTGAATGTTATTCATCTTCGAACTGATATTGTAGGCTAGCAAATGGGAAGCATGTGAAATGGTGGAAGAACTCCCTTTTGCTGAAACAGATGATAAAAATAATATTTAATGTTTTTTGTTTTCCAATCATGATGTAGGTGAATTGGTGGTAGAACCCATCTTTACTGGACCAGATGATAACAGATGATTGGTAAAAAATAAATTGTTATTGCAAGGCATAAACTTGTTGACAAAAGAAAATTGTGGTGGAATAGAAAAACTCACCTTTACCAGAGCAGAAATAATAAAATTACCATGTACGTCTTATTCTTGTGTTGCAGGCAGGCAATGTGGTGGCAGAAGAAATGGAAAAAAAACTCAAATTTGTCAAAGCAGAGAGAATCAAACTGTCACTGTATATCTTGTTCTTGTGTTGCAGGCAGGCAATGTTGTGACAGTGAAAAACTCATATTTGCCAAAGCAGAGAATCAAACTGTCACTGTATATCTTATTCTTGTGTTGCAGGCAGGCAATGTTGTGACAGGAGAGATGGTAGAGGAACTCATCCTGGCTGGGGCTGATATCATCAAAGTTGGGATAGGTCCAGGGTCTGTGTGCACCACCAGAAAGAAGACTGGAGTGGGATACCCTCAGCTGAGTGCCGTCATAGAGTGCGCCGATGCTGCTCATGGCTTGGGAGGTCACATCATCTCTGTGAGTAGGAAGTTTTAGAACTCTCTGTGTGTTTGAGTTGGGAGGTCACATCATCTTTGTGAGTATGAAGTTTTAGAAGTTTGAGTGTTTCATTGTGTGTGTTTGAGGAAACCACGTATATGACCCGAAGGTTTTCGTGTTTATTCGGATCCATGTGTTTGAGTCGTCCTTTGTGCACCTCATTTCTCTCCAATTTATGTAGCCAGTGTAATCACTGAGAAAATATCATTTGTGTGGAATATTTATATCATAACATCTTCTCATCTGAACAGGATGGAGGCTGTACGTGTCCTGGTGATGTCGCCAAGGCATTTGGTGCCGGTGCCGACTTCGTCATGCTGGGAGGAATGTTTGCAGGCCACAAAGAGTCAGGAGGTGAACTCATTGAGAAGAATGGCAAAAAGCATATGCTGTTCTATGGGATGAGCTCGGCCACCGCCATGAAGAAATATGCTGGAGGAGTGGCAGAATACAGGTGATAAGATGAAAACAGCTTTTTGAGATCTCAGGGCTGGGTCTGTTTTTTTTTTTTTTTTTTTTTTTTNGGTGAACTCATTGAGAAGAATGGCAAAAAGCATATGCTGTTCTATGGGATGAGCTCGGCCACCGCCATGAAGAAATATGCTGGAGGAGTGGCAGAATACAGGTGATAAGATGAAAACAGCTTTTTGAGATCTCAGGGCTGGGTCTGTTTTTTTTTTTTTTTTTTTTTTTTTTGCAAAAAATTGATTACATGTAGATACTCAAGTTTGGCAATTTTAATTAAATGGTTTGCTGAGAATATAAATGCTTGTTAATTAAGCTACATGTAGTGCAGGTTGACTGGAAGTTCAATGTTTCATGAATGCATTCTGTATCAGTTCTCCTTGAGAGGTCCTAATATGTGATTATGCTATGATTTTACATGCTTTCACAAGTTCTCCACGAGTACACTTCCTGCTGTTTAGTTAAGTAAATTTATTGGCTGTACTGAACATGGGGCTCTGTGTATGCGACTCTGTTACACAATAATCAAACTATAAAGTTGACAATCTCTCAAAGTGTACCAGTTTATACTGTGTCACTCAAGTGTACTGCTGGATGTGAAAAGAGCCTAAGAATTCCAGTACGTCCACCACGTGATGTCACACTATATACAAGCTATGTACTTTTCAGAGCCTCTGAAGGGAAAACAGTAGAAATCCCTTACAAAGGAGACGTAGAACCCACAGTATTGGACGTCCTAGGAGGGATACGATCAGCGTGCACGTATGTCGGTGCGGGGCAACTCAAGGAGCTGAGCAGACGGACAACGTTCATTCGCGTGACTCAGCAAGTGAATGAGATCTTTTCAGCACACAACGTTTAGTTTGCAAAGTAGAATATAGTAGAAAGGAGGAGGACAGAAACTCTAAATAGAACCAGCTTTAATTTCTTGCTGCGCATGCTTTTCTCTTTTTTTGTGAAGCCAACTGAATTGAACAGATCTGTATCCATGGGTTTAGTGAGCTTGCTACCTCATTCTATATTCAAAAGAATTGACCACAGTTGTAAGACATTTGAGTTGGCTAGTAAAGTTATACACTGTGTGGCCATGCAGCACTCACACTAGCCCTATTAGAGGGTGCACTCACAATGAAACTAGTCATACTTAGTGGATCGACCTAACTCTGCGAGGACTCACTGAATCAATCAGATTGACTGAAACACAAACCTCCTCTAGCAGCTAGGTGTGGTTAACTTCCTTGTGCTGCTTGAGGAGGCATGTCATTCAGTTAACCTGATTGCATTCAGCAAGAGTGCCTGCGGACTTCGGTTACCCTCTCTTTTGACAACACAGGTAAGGCCAATATTTGACTCAAAATAATCCAAATGTGTATGCAACTGTGGCAGTATTTTGGTTTCATACAGCAAATTGTTGCTGATGATGCCGGCACACCTTCCCTGTCCAAGTGGCAGATGTCATGTACTTATTATTAAGTGAGTTGTCCACTTCACCTCAGTAATTGTTGCCTTATGCATGTGTCTTAGTTTGTGTTCACACTGGGGAAAATTTGGAATGAAAATGGGTAAAAAATGGCCAGTTTCGTGTAGTCAAGTTCAGTGGCTGTAGTGGCAGTCTTCTGGGTAAGCTTCCAGTAGACTTCAAACTCAGGATGGAGGTAAAAGTATTATTGCTCATAAGTAAATGGCCAGGATAAGAGACATTTGTTATCCTTCAATCGGAGATCTTAGTGGTTAAGTTTGGCATTGAAAACAGCTGGAGTTAAGGTCATATACAGTATTTAACATTGTCTTTGTTGTTACTGTTGTTGTTCTTGTGTGATGTAGTTTTTCACCGTTACTTATTGACTTCATATACTGTGTGTCACACGCCTTATTTATTGTCAAAATACACAAGTGCTTATTCAAGTACATGGTCCAGTGTGACGATTCCTCACCAAATTCAAGCAATGTTGATCCAGTGTGGATGTCTTTAAATTCTGCTTTTGTGTGTAATACCTTAAAGAGATGTTCCACCACTTAAAATTAGCATATTATTTTGAGTTATACATGGTAAACCTTTAAAACAAAAACAATGTTGAAATAAATGAAGTATGAGATTTGTGGTTAAGTACAATAGAGGAATAATAAGGCCAGTACAATTGTACATCAGTGATTGTTTTCAGCTATTAAAAGGTCCTACATGATATGAATGTTACATATATATCTGGTTAAGGATCTCTCTTGTGGGATCATGTTGTAAAATTTTGAATTGTGGTGTTAATTTTGCCTGAAAATGTTGACAGATCTCGTGATGTGGGGCAGTCACACCTTTTGTTACTTTTAAGTATCTTTACAGCATTTCCTTCAGTTGAGGTGTCTCATAATTAAGATCACAGTTTCTATTGCATTGTACTGATCTTTGTATTTAGTGTCTGTCAGAATCCAGTTTTAGACAAGTACTTTATTTATTCTTTAAGAAATTATGGTCCAACTTAAATATATGCAAAACTTTACAAAATAAATCATAGTATTTAGTGAGTCTCAGAACTATTTCCATATGATGGTTGAGGGCAGTGTTTAAGGTTGAAGTGATTGGCGCATCCCATCTTGCCAGTTTTTGAATTGTTTTAACTTTGTGGACAATCAGCATGTATTTGGAGTAATAAATTCCCTTCACAAATAAGTGAAACCATGAACTGCATTTTTTTTCTCAAAGTTTATGAGGTCACAGGGGCCTAGAAATGATTAATCCTAGCCTTCTGGTCAAAATATCAGAGAAGGCTATATCTAGGTGTTGCTGTAAAACTCTTGACCCTGCTATAACACCCCATTTCCATAGATTTTTAGATCGATCTATCCCTGTGGGGAGTCTCACTAGATTACTGTCAGCTTGGCCGGCTTAAGCGTCTGTCCTGCCTACTAAAAGCTGTAAGGGGGTAATTAACTATTGTGTCCGCTCGGCTGACTGCAATTTAGCCTGAACCCCCAGGGAGTTAGGTCGATCTAAAACTTAATCTTTAGATCGATCTAAATCTCTGGGAAAGCACCCTTAGTGACCTTACTGAGAATTTGGGTTAAACTTTCAAAACTTTACTGCTGCTTATTAAGGACTTTCAGTTTGGCATGTTGCTCAAAATGTGTGCACATGCATCACAAATGTCAATTGTGGATAAAAAAAATAATAAAGGCCCTTACATGAATTCAAGGTGAAACAAAGGAGTAGTAAAATGTTCATGTAAGAAATTTTATTACTGACCGACAAACCAAGATAGTGCAGATGCTAGTTACAATATGAATAAGATAAACTTGCTCCCATCCTCCTAACACATTATCTAGCTTGTGTGTATGTGAGAAATGTACTTTGTTAACACTACGCTGAACTCCTTGAGCTCATTTAGTCCACTTAAAATAATTATAGTATTTCAGTTCTGATATTACTGTCCTAAAATTGAGCAGCTTTTTTTTTTTATAGAATTTGTCTCATTAATTTCAGTTTTGGCCACATTATCCAAAACATTTGATTTATCCACAAAAAAAGTAATTCTAGAATTAAAATATTATAAAACAAAACAAAAACCCTTATCACCAATAACACTGTAAAAATCCCCCTGATAAAATGTCCAATGTACAACACAGGATGCAAGAAAAATCATCCAGTAATTTTTTTTTTTTTAGTTTTAAAGTAAGTTTTTTTTCTGTTAATCTACAAGTTCTATTTCTGCCAGTGACCTTACCTGATATAGAAGTGCTACCTTCTAAACATATCAATCTGGAACAAATATGCAAGCTACAGTAAAGGACTTATTGACATTCATGATTAAAGCTACATTCAATAAACAAACAAGCAAAACGTTTTTTAACACATCTTTAAAACTACTTAGTAAATTTTTACTGCAATTTATGCATATATTTTGTCCCTAAACACTGACATATTTAAAATTGGCTTCAAAGCGCTTTTTATTTCAAAACCAATTTTTGAGCAGTTTGAAGTCCTAACCCCAGGTAAGTACATGAACTACAACATTGATCTATATCAAAATCGGCTGCCCAATAAATATAACTTAATTTTCAATTAATATCATAAAAGCAGATCTTATTGTGTATCACCCATTTCATGCAGCAAGCGGAGGATTTAACATTTAATGTTCATCCTTTATTTACTAATGCATTATTTTTGGTAAGGCAATAACGTGAAAAAATACAAACAAAGCCCAATGTGAAACTATCTACAAGGTGCGGCTACAACGCAACTCTTAAGAAATGGAAAAAAAAGTGCTACTTCATGTATTCAAACAGTGGTGACAAACAGTAAATGTGTACTTTTAGTAATTCAACCAAGTTAAAAACCACAACAGACATCCCAATAAATATATATATCAACCCCCCCCCCCCCAAGAAAAATTTACACTCCCCGTTAAAACATTGTCTTGCACATCACATTATTAATCCATGTTTTAAAAATCTTGAGTGCATCACCATTTATAATTAATACATTGATTCCTATTCTAGCACTATAAACCTAAGCACTCCATGGCTGGGCTAATTTTCAATTTCACCCTACACTATCAAAAGTTATTAACTGAAATGTGTAAATTATCAATTCAGCAATTTCCCCTCATTTTTTTTAGGTCAAAATCTGATCTTCTCAGCTAAAACCAAAAAACAGAACTACAAGCCCAGAGAAAGAATTCATTTCCAAAACATTGTGAAC